CAGAGGTACGGCCGTCAAGATGAGCCCAGGGACCATGGCTCCATCCTCTAAATGTAATTTTTTGAATGTTCCAGCAAAGTCAGTCCTTCAGGTGACCACTGCCCCACTGACCAGGGTGTGAGGCAGGCCACCCTGCTGATTCCAATCAACACACAGAATCATGAAAGATAATAACTGTCTGTTGTTTTAAGTCGCTACATTTTAGGGGAGTCAATGATGAAGCTATAGACAACCAAAACAGGAAGCTGTGCCTGGGGTGAGGCTACATAAGAGAAACCTAAAACATGTGTATGATGATTATTGTATGTGTCAACCTGGCGAGGCCATGGCACCTAGATATTTGGTCAAACATATCTGGATGTCTCTGTGAAGGTATTTCTAGATGAGGTTGACATTTAAATCAATGGAGTTTGAGAAAAGCAGATTATTCTTCATAACACGGATGGGCCTCACTCAATCAGCTGAAGACATTAAGAAAAAGGCTGACAGCCCCTCCCTACGCCCCGCTTCCAAAAAGGAGAATTCTGCCAGCAAACGGCCTTCAGACTTGAGCTGCAACATCAGCTCTTCCCTGGGTGTCCAGCCTGCTGGCTTACCCTGCAGATTTTGGACTTGTCAGCCTCCACCATCACAGGAGCCAGTTCTTTAAATTCAATCACTATTTCTCTCTCTCTCTCTCTCTCTCTCTCACTGTCACTCTGGAGAACCCTGACTACTACAATGTGGCAATACCATTGGGGACAGAGTGGCAGGCATGAACAAGGCCTCAAGGATGCTGCGTATGAAGGCTGGACAGACACAAAGGAAAGTGTTATCAGAGGCTTGGAAAAAGATGACCCATGTTACGTAGTGGTGGAAAGTTTAGTAACACTGTCGCCTGCGCTAATGTTGCTAATAAAATTTATAAATTTGGCTAAGGAGGTTTCCAAACACATTGTTAAAAGTGCCTACTCATTGTTTTCAGCTATGTATACAAGGTACAGAGAAAAAGAGAAAAATGAACTAAAAAAAAAAAAAAGAATTGTTCTTTTTTTTTGTTTGTTTTAGCAGAATCAAGAGAAAACATTTCCAAGTCAGGTATTACTGAGTTGGAAAATAAAACTGCTGGTCATCCCCCATATTTTGTGGTAAAAGTATATCAAAATAAGAAATGGCCTCAAGGCAAACATCACACCCAGGGCAGTGAGAGGAAAGCGTGTTCACAGAACCAAGATGTCGAGGATGTGACTGTGAGGCTCTAAGGCAACATGGAGAAAGAGAGAGACCCCACCTGTGCAGCATCCCAGGTGACACCAGCCTTTCAGCTCACCCCTCCCAGGTGTCATTCGTGTGAGTGACATCTGATCTACCTGGATATTTCAGCTTAGTTGAATGCTCAGATAACTTCAGCCGCAGTCCACATCACAAAAAGCAGAAGAACCACCTAGTTAAGACAAACCAACCTACAGAATCATGTAAAATCATAACATGGTTTGTTTTAAGCCACTAAGTTTTGGGGTGACTTTTTATGTAGTAACAGACTGGAAAGCTATGAAATATGAATCATTGGAAACTGAAGACTAATGAGGAAGGAGACCTACAATAATTCTATTATTAACCCAGCAGTGCCATAGTTTACTATCTTTACATTCAGCTTTACTGCATGTAATTATAATGATTATATGTGTAATTTTTATGCTGGTTTTATTTTGCTTGGTAATATATAATATATCACATTTTATATGTTAATATATAGTTTAAATAGAGACCTGTAAAGGTTAAAAGAACTGGGTCAAAGTAGAAATATCAGGTTAAATAATTGACATAAATTGCTTTAGCCCAATATAAAAAGCCAAGCAGGAGAGAGTAATCTGGCAAGGTATAGATTTCATAATTTATCAGGGAAAAGATTGTTGATATCAAGAGGGTATAATAAGGGAAATAGGGTTCCAAAGTTTCAACAACATAGAAAGAAGGAAGAAATTATTAATCAGTCATGATCTTGAGGTTAAAGTCTCCCAGGAGACAACAAAATAAATTAAATTCAAGGACAACAGACAGAAAGAAAGAAGGCACCATATATATAATATACAATATATAAAGAACTTTCATAAAAAGAAATAAACAAGCAGCTCAGTAGAAATTAGTAAGAATCTGAACAAGAAATTCACACACATGCTATACACACACACATGCACATATGACCAATAACTGTATAGAACATACTGAGACTCAGTGACAATCAGGGAACAATTAGAGGTTACTTTTTTCATAACGAAAAAGAGTTAATACTCTTCAGCGATGATGAGGTTTTGGGAGAGCATGTCCTCTGACAGATGGTGAGGAGAGTGTAAAGTGGCCGAGTCATTTTGGAGGGAATACTTATCAAAATTTTAAATATGCATTATTCTCCCCTTGATCCAGCAATTCTACCACTAGAAATCTATCCTACAGAAACTTAAGTACACAAAAATATCTGTACATGGACATTCATTGAGACATGACTCTCCCAACTAAGATGGCAGCTCCACGAGAGCCGGACCTTTGTCATTTGATCTTGTATTGTTAGTAGCTACACCACTTCCTGGAACATAATTGATGCTCTGCAAATATTTGTTGAATCAATGAGTGGGACTGATAAGTGGAAATTAATTTTCTGTCACTAGAAAATGTTTACATCCACCCTATGGAATACTATGAGCTATTTTTAAAAAAAGAAAAACAGGAGGTAAGTCTATATCCACCAGTTTTCGAATGTCTCTAAGGCTAAGTGTTAAATTTTAAAAAAAGAATAATAGTAAAAAGTTAAAAATAACATAAATTCCATCACTAAAGAGCTCATTTACTAGACTGTGATTTAAATAAATGTAATTACAAGGCAACCATTTTGATGTTAGCCTTGATCTACATTTATTGTTGAAAAATGTCTGTAATATCGCATTTCCAAAAAATTGTAGCATTTTCACCACTTAGTCCATATCGGGATAATTCCTCCTAATCCTCGTAACCTCTCTGTGTGGTAGGTAGTCTCATTCCATTTTATAGTTAAGAACACTGAGGCACAGAGAAAGTAAGTTCATTGCCCAAAGGTCCAGTGTGACAGAGCTAAGCCATGTGACCCCAGAGTTCCTTCAGTAAGCCACACACTGGTAAGTTGACCATATGTTCTAGTGATTCAGCGTAATTATGAAAAGCACCGTCTTCCTTTTCAAATTGCCTCCAGACAGGGACAATGAACTTTATGTCCACTCTACCGTAGCAGAGACTGAGTTCACTCTTTGGAGCCGATTTCTTGCAATGTACTCAAACTCCTGACTTCAGCCGGCTCATATGGAAAAAGATAGCAACAGCCTGCCTCATACAGCTGTTAAGGATAAATGATTTGATATTTTTAAGTGCCTGGCACATAGTGCCATATATAATTACTAACCCACTTATAGTATGCGTACATGTATGTGAGATATCGGGATGTTCACAAAATACTAGCAGAAGGCATCGCCTGTTAATATTTTAAATATATGTGTACGCAAACATGTGTATATGCTGAACATGTGTATGCATATATATATATGCACTTGTGTGTTTAATAGTGAGCAAGCATCCTGACAAACATTAAAGAGCCATGTGGTTTCTATGGTGCATCCTACTTGCCATGCAGATATGCCAACTAAAGGTGATTGAACAACAAACACTTAAAAATGGTAAATTAAGGTGAAAATAAAAAGGTTGCTTTTATCATTAACAATTCAGATCGGATATCACTTAATTTGACTAGCACAGTGCCAAAGGCTGAAGGAACACCTCAACTTCTCGTTTCTCTATCGATTAACTAGTTAATTGTTTGTAAACAAAACTTAAAGGGCCCTGGCAATCTTTGGACTTGAACCATTTGTGATGTTCAGGACACCTCGGGTATCTGCATTAGAACCCAACCCTCGGGCGCAAGCGGGAAGGCGCGGACGCTGGCGGTGAGGGCAGGGGGCGGGAGGGGGGGCGCTGGGGCTGAGGGTCGTCTCCCTGCTCCCAGCCCTTAACTGCGGGTGTCCTGGTGGCGGAATTGTGCAATCTCAAACTCCCAGCTTAAGATCACGGCTCTCCCTGCCGCCTTCGGCAGCCTGAGAAGTAGCTTTACCTCCCAGCGCGTTCTGCTTTCTGTGCCACTTCGCAAACGCGGCCCGTTGCCGCGGAAGCCGCCTCCTGGGAATGGCAGTCAGGAAAGGGGTTCACTTTGGAGAGAGAGATTGGTAGCTAGCTGGGCGGGGGCACGAGGGACCTTCGGGAAAGGTCCCCTAGCTAGATGTGGGCGGTTGAGGGATTGGACAGATGCGTCGAACTGATTAACATGATCATCGTGTAAATAATAGCTCAATTTTTGAAGTTGCTACTGCTCTGTTTTGTCTTGTTAGTGAGTTCTCGAGTTACATTCATGGCACGACGCGCAAGCGGAATCCGGGTGCGGTTTTCTGAAGGATGAAACTCTTTTCAGAGGTCTGGCCCATCCTGCCGCCGCGGGCGACAGAAGCTACTTACGTAGGTGGGCTCTGTAACGGGGTCAGAGACAGGGAACGGAAGCCCCAGCAAAGCAAAAACTGCCACCAAACCCACCCGGCCTCCCAGGCGCCTCTGCAGGGTTTCCGTCCCTGCGGGGCGGGGGAGGCTGCGAGCGCCGAGGGGGCTGCGGGTCGGGGCTGCTGGGCTCTGGGCACCTTGCCCAGGGGGCGGTCATCTCTGCCAGGTGTTCACAGCTGAGCTCGCCGGGCCTCAGAGCCGCGCTCTCCGCCGCACGCTCGGGGCCGCCGTGCCCCACCCCGCTCCCAGCTCCTGCAAGGGACGTGCGGAATCGCCAGCCGGGTATTGCGTGAGCAGCACTGCCCAGCGGGCTCTCCGCTGACCCAAAACAGAAGGTGCTTTGTTCCGGCAACCCAGACGGGCCCCCGGCGCGCCGCGTCCCGCGTGCAGTAATGGCCGAGCGCAGTCACCGCCGCGGGGTGCCCAGCGGAGCGCCACTGTTGCGAACTCACCTCAGCTCCGGCCGCTTGACTTGAGTGTAGGTGTAGCATCTTCCCAGAACGATCTCGGGAAAATGGGGTGTGGTGCCCTTCCCGTTCCACTCCTTGTGCTTGCGCGCCTGGCCCCATTTCAGAACTCCTACCACCACCGCGACGATCGTCACCACAACCACGACGCAGAGAATGCCGACACAGTTCTTGGCATTCTTGGAGAGGTTGCAGCAGGGTTTCTCCTCAGGCACGGGGTTCAGTCTGTGTTCGGACATGGGGTCCATTGCGGGGTCGGCCGGGCTAAGCCGGAGGACAGGACCGGCCAGAGGCTGAGCAGGAAGGGTGGCGAGAACTGCCCCTCCAGGAAACCTCACCTCCCCGTTTATCTTTCACTTGCCTTTTCTGGGCTTCCTTTCCCACCCCACCCCCTCCTTCAAACTTCCCTGGCCAGCTGGACTAATAAGGACTTGAAGGACTTTAGAAGAGTTTAGCAAAAGCGGAGAGGCAGCCTCCCTGAACCTACCCTGCAGATGCCCGGGTTACACACTACATTCTTGCACCTCCTGGCCAGCCCCACCTGTCAGATGTGGACTTCGCACTTTGGCTGCACTGCTTCCTGGAAAAGATGAAGGTTGGCTGCCTTCCTATGTACCTATGTAGAAGCAGCACCTTTCACCTGCAAAGCCATGTTCTACCTCTACTTCTTAGCTCTGACCAGGCCTGCTCAGTCCCTTCTAAAGGCTCCACCTAAGTTTGACCCCTTCTCTCAAGGGGCATCTTGGTAAAGGTCTGGGTTCAAATTTAGCTCCATCCCCGAGTTGCTGGGAGACGTAGGGTAAGTTACTTGACCTCTCTGTGCTTCATGGGGTCAATTGCATTACCCACTTCACAGGGCCGTCATGAGGATGAAGTGTGTTCATATTTACAGCATGTTTAGCGTCATGCCTGGCACAGAGTTAAGCACTGAGTAAATGTTTGTTATTCTTGTTCTGTGAGCATGTGGAGGGAAGGCCATTTTATCACCCATGGACCATGCTTAGAAAAATGCCTGGCCCCTGCAGGGAGCACTCTCAGCAGTGATTCCATAAATGATGGCGTGGCTTTTCCCACACTTCCTCTGCCCCTCCACTCTCAAGGTTCCTAGCGCTGGGGACCCCAGGCGCCTGGTGTGGGGGCAGGGTGGGCGGGGACAGGGACGGGTGAAGGGGATGGCGGAGAACTCTACAACCTCACAGAGCGAAGGTAGAGCACGCGGCTTGAGGGGATGGTAGGTTAATGGCTTTGCTGACGGTAACATGTGCGCATTCTCTTTGGATTGTGTCTTGGCAAAATGAGAAGGTCGCCTGCCGAGCATGCAGGGTGCAGGGGAAAATGCGGGAGCCCAGGAGGGCAGACGGAGTGGGGAATAAGAGAGGTTCCCCGGATGTCACAAGGGGGTCAGGGAGTTTAACAGAGTGAGGGTGTGGTTTTGGTCCAGCCACCTCTGCTTAGGAAGAAAGGTAAGAAGAGGCAGAGAGTTGATTTTCATGGGATTGGGGTTTGCCTGCTTATTGGTTCACCAGGGCTGCCATACAAAACCACAAAGTCTGCCGTGGCTTAAACAACAGAAGTTTATCGACTCACAGGCTTGGAGGCTAGAAATCTGAGATCAGGAAGTCAGTGAGGTTAATTTCCTCAGAGGTCTCTCTCCTTGATAACAGATGGCTGCCTTCATTCTGTGTCCTCACGTGGTCTTTGTGTGTCCGCACATCTCCGTTCCAATTTCCTCTTCTTATAATGACACCAGTTATATTGGATAGGGCCCACCTAGAGACCTCATCTGAACTTAATGGCCTCTTTAAAGGTACTATCTCCCAATCCCGTCACATTCCGAGGTCCTGGGAGCGAGAACTTCAACATGTTCTGGGGGCAGGGACACAACTGAGCCCATCGCGCCGGGGAGGAACAACGCAGTAAGAGAAAGGCAAGGGGGTTGGAAGTTCAAGCAAAGATGGAATTTCAATAATGAAACGTAGCACCTAAGTCACCCAGAAACTGAAGTGAGGACAAAAGGAAGGTGACAGTGGAAGAGGAGGAGGTCCCCAGGGGGCCAACAAATCGGTAGAGGAGGGAATATCTCCACTTGCAAATCACTCCGTCCAAAACTGAACTGCTGATGTTTCTCCTTCAAACCTGATCTTTTCCTGGCCTTTCCAATTGCAGTAAAAAGAACCCCCATCCCTCCAGTTGCTCAAGGTATGAACTCCCAAGTGGCTGAACACTTTCTTCTCCCTCATCCCACACACATCCACCTTGAAGTTGGTTCTTTCTGTCTGATATTAAAGATATTTGATATTTAATACAAATGATAATTAATGAGATTGAATATTCATTAAGTATCCTCTTTACTCACCTCCACTGCCACCAGCTATTCCCAGAGAAATTCACCCTCTTTCTCACCCAGGCAGAGCTCACCTGGGCCAGAACTTTCTTTTATATTAGATAACATGCAAGGGCCAACATCAGTTACTGTGTAACAAAGCTTGTCACCCACTTCTTAATGAACTGAGCTATGGGATAGGAATAGTTTCTGGCTTGTAGAATGAAACATTTAAGACATGCCACAAAAATAACCCCTTTAGAAAGGGTATTTGTTTTTGATAATAAATGTAATAAATACAGGTGGAGTAAAAAAGTCAAATAGAACAAACTAAATATGTGGAACATTATTCTTTCTCCTGCCCCAGACTCCCCTCGTACCTTATTAACGAACAGGCAGCCTATATATGTGTACAAATGAATGGAGAGATAAGCTTTTGTTCCATAAAAATTACAGCAGATTGTACACCTTGTTGTGTACCTGGCTTTCTTCACAAAGTGATACATTTACAAGACATTACCTATCAGCACATATTGTTCTACCTCAGTCTTCTTAGTGATTCCTGGTACTCTAATGTCTGTACCACGGCTTGTTTAATGAGACCCATGTCGATGGGCACCTAGCTTTTCCACTCCTTTGTTACCACATTAAATACTGGAATAAGTATTCCTGTATCTACATACGTTTCCACATGTCCAAATACGTACACTCCTCAGAGTAGACTTCCTGGGTCAAAGAGCCCAAACTTTTAAAATTTTGCAAGAATATAGACAAACCAAAGAGGTCACACCAAGAGACATAGCCCCACACTGCTTACACTTTTAGTTTTGTTTTCATTTCTGATTATGAATCAGCAGTAACTTGGAAGCACTTCAGCTTTTACTCTCTCCTTCCGTTCAGTGTAACAAAGACTTGAGAAAATAAAATCTCAGAGGACCCCGTAACCCTTTGCCTTGACGAAGTCACTTGGTTGGCGAGCCCTCTCGCTGCGCTCCGTCCTTCCGCAGGTTCAGCTACAAATGCTCAGAGTCCTGGTATGCCTTGGTAAAGAAGGTTGCAAATGCACAAGTAACCACACTCCTGCACTTCCTCTGGTGGTGGTATGACAAAAAGTTCCATTTGTAAGTTTGTTTTCTCGTCTATCAAATGAATTCAGTATAATGCTTCTTCGACAGGTTCCCGTGGGTTTTAATTGGGATAGTGTACACACCGAGCACAGATGAGGCACTCGGCACGTGGTAATGTTATTGTGGACTTATTTGTGCATAGCTACAATACACCGAGGCTCAGGAAAACGGCATATTCTGGTATACATTCAACACATATTAAGACCCAGGCACCATGGTAGCTTGCTGGGGGCACAGAAGGACACTGTCCTCGAGGAAGCCCGTGTAGAGCGGTTAGAACACAGGCTTTCTCGTTGCGCGATGGCAAGATGGGGCGTGTTGCCGCAGGGAAGCGCCCCATGTCCCAGGTCCGGAATCTGAGGGTCACCATCAGGGGCCCGCTGAGATGGGAGCAGGGCTCCGAATCCCACAGAGCCCGTCCCGATGGTGTCACAGATCAGGGAAATAAACACGAGTCGCTACAAACACGTCTCTGTTTGCCAGGAGAGGGGACGTGGCACATCCCTCCAGTGGGGAAGGCCCCGAATCCCTTTGTTCAAAGGCTTTTATTGAAAAGGTTCTCAGTGGGGCCAGGCAACAGGAATGCACAGGTGATCTCATTACATCCGTATGTTAATGTTCACAGAGAATGGGTGACGTTTTGAAGAAAATAAATGGCAGGAACACACCGATTTACATGGGTCTGAGAAGAGAGTAGTAAACAAGAGAGACGACTAACATGAGAGCGTAGTAAATGTAAGAGTGTCTAAGGGTATAGGGTTAGGGTCTGTGAATAATGTAAATTCCCTTCCCAGCATGAGCTGGCTGTAGCTTCAAAGGGAAGCTCAAAGCACACTTTAAATTAGAATTTACTTTTAGGCCTGATTTCCCTGGGAACAGCCAGATCTGGTTTAGGACTGACTCTTTTCGAGCCTGAACCAGCTCGGGGTGCTTGGGGGGGGGGGGCGGTGCGGCGGGGGGCGGGGGGCCAGCCGCCAAGAGACAAGGAGACTTCTTTCGGATAGAATGAGGACTCCAGCCCTGTCCAAGCTGAGCTGAGGGGTACAGGCCTTTTTGCCCTTTCTCCATGTCCCCCAATTTCTTGTCTGCTGCCAATATTCGATCGACATCTGTCTCAGGTTGTATGCCTCAGCTCAAGATAACTTACCCGTCATGGATCACTGATCATCCAAGGCAAAGCAGAGGCAAGGGCTGCACCCCTGCCAGCGGGGACAGGTTATATCTCCTCAGGAGCCCATTTCTCCAAGGCCTCCCTGATTATTTCCAGCCTTGGGGCCCTCCAGCCTGTCGGCAGGGTTACAATTCCTGAAACCATACAGGGCGTTTCCCAAAACTTTCTGGTCAGGTAGCCCCGAGTGGGCTCTGCCACTTGGGCCAAGGAACAAACCTTCTCCAAAGGACAAGTTTCTCTTCTGCAGAGTGGGCTTGAAATTCTCTGCGGGCATCACTGAATGACTGAGGATTGAGTCAGGTCACACACACAGAGAACGCAGTGGAGTGTCTGACTGCTGACTAGTATCCAATGAGTACGGCGATGGCTGAGTGCAGGCCGGAGAGAGCCCAAATGCCAGAGTGGGTTTCAGAAGGTCCTGGAGAAGACGTGGCAGGAGATGGGCGGGGGAGCGGGGTTGTCGGCGGTAGGAGGAGGGGGCGGGCAAGCAAGGATTGTAAAAAGTGGGGAAAGGCATGTAAACATATCAGTAGGAAGAATTGCACATGGCTGTTGGGACACCTGGGCCACAGCGAAGTGACTTCCTCCCAGTCACACAGCCGGTTCGTGGAAGTGCTGGCTCTAGGATGACGTTTCCTCAGTCAAATTCATTAGTTATTTTCAAATCATTCAAGTAACACAATCACATCTTAAAATTGCGAAACAGAGGAAAGAAGAAAAATATCCCCCCCACTCAAACCCGACTACCATTTAAATTTTGGATATTTATTTTGACAGTCTTTTTTCGTAATCTTTGACAGCTTTACAAGTAGTTACATCATATACTATTTGATAATATATACTTACTTCATGCATATATGGCAATATGTACATT